CTCTCGATGAACTTATGTTGTGAACAAGTCGTGCTCTAATGTCGTATCAAAACCCGATGCCTTTTTTGCAACTCGTTATTCACGTGAGCAATAACTGTCGTCCAAAATCATAGAAAAAATAAGGCATAAAGCGATTTGAATATGTAGAGGTAGATTGACAAGTTGTGAGGTCGATGGTCCAAAACCATAATGAATCCACAGAAAATGGTGCACGACACTTTTGAATGCATATACTTTTTGGATCTTTACGCAATAATTTCATAGACTCTTTCTCTCTATTCTATTTCTGTCATAAATAAGAACATGGAGCTCAGGATCCAATCTGCCCTTTTATTTATCAAATAATAGGAAGGGAAAAATATGAAATTATCTTTCTTCATGATTTTGAGAGATATGGTTCTGCTCCGACAAATTTTATTGGTATTGCAATTTATAAGAGGGAAATAAAAAAGGAAATTGGCAATCGATGCAGGCACTCCTTTCCATTTTGACCCACATGTAGAAGGACTGAATTATCGTTCCTTTTCTCCCAAAATAAGGAAAAATCTTGAATAAGGATATAAAGTGCGATTGTTTTCTCAAAAGTGAGTTCATAACGCATCTTATTTCAAATAAAGTTATGAAGTGGCCAACTTAATCTCAAATCAAACCCTGAGCACACCGGCCGATCAAATTTATAGCGGTTGACAAGAACGTGCATCTCACGTGCTAGTCGCTTGGTGAAGATTTGGCTGGCCGATTGTCGCGGCCCTCCAAGGTTTGACTTGGTCCGTGTTCAGCATTGCAAAACTTGATCTGGTTTTAATTACAGAACCCTTAAACTGACTCTCTAAAGCATCATGTATTCTCGACCCAAAAAAAGCATGGATTTATTTTCTCCCTCATTGCTAATGGGGGATATTGTTCACAAGTGCTTGCACTAGCAACCCTATTATTTATTTCAGATAATTCATCCGTATGCTTTTTGTAGAAATGCAACATTCATTTGCATAAAGCAAAAGACTCTACTCTGGCTTAGATAAAGCCTTTCAGACCCATTTCAATTGCTTTCTTCTTGTTTAGCATTTATTTTTATCGCCTAGATTAGGGAATTTTTATTATTCTTTTAATTTAATGCACAATTCATGAGAGTCTTGTCTCAAGGCTTGATAACGAGTTGGTGTTTAGAATTTGGCATATACGAATCGGGTTATTTTTTTCTTGACTGTACTTTACTTGTTTTGGTATCATTATATCTTGGTCGGATGTTATCTTATATTTATATGCCTTAAAAAATAACAAAAAAATCATTTGGGAAGATCGCATGAAATACTTTTTCACATAAAGGAGAAAAGATATCGATTTTGGGCATTAGATAAATTTCAAGTGTAATCAAGTCTCCCGGTTTGAATCTCTAGATCCTCCTCCATTTTACTTGGCCTCTAATCCGTTAGTGGCAGCTTCTAAAGTAAAAAAAAAGTTTATAATTCACCGAAGAAATCAAGTTGTGTTCGATAGGAATTGGGAGAGCCCATGTCAAGATTAAGAGCTGCCTTCAAGAGGAATCTTTTACCCTCTTTTAACAATCCGTTAAACCCCTTGAGGAATTTCACCTCGGGAGGATGACGACAACCAGCCAGCCAAATCTTCACCATCCCGCGAGCACGTGAAATGCACGTTCTTGCTAGCAAAGAAAGATTTAGCCGGCCGATGAGTTTCGGGTCTTATCTGAGAATAAGTTGGCTATTTCAGAGTTTTATTTGAAATAAGATCCATTTTGTGCCCTCTTTCGAGAAAATGACCAATATTTAGACCTTCATTTAATATTTCTCCCAAAAATAATCAAAGGAAGCAATTTTAGGAAAATTTGAAAGAAAGAGCACCATCAATTATGGCATAACGATTCTGTCAACTAAAATTATTGAGATTGAGTAGTATAATATGTCCATTTATATAGTGACAAAATTCTTTGTACGGCATATTGATAAATGAATCTACCAAGAATGTCACCTATAACTTTGATGCAGATGTCAATACGTGTTCGAACTTCTTTTGGCAGCTTTTCCTCAAGGTGCTTAATCACTTAAAGAGAGCTCCTTCTTTATTTTCACAGGGGCAAAGGGGAAAAATACACACACACACACACACACACACACACACACACACACACACACATATATATATATATATATATATATATATATATGCATATGAGTATATGATGTATAAAACATTATATAAATAATGCAGCGGACAAAATTAATCACAATTCGAAGAAAGGTTGCGGTATATATTTGCATAGGATTTTTAGTCAATTTTACTCTAATACGTGATTTGTTCGGCCTAAATGAATGACCAGTTTAGAAGGATGATTTGCAAAATGACTACTATAGACACCTGTATATGTCATTACCCCGTTTGAGTTAGAACGATGATTTGTAGAAGACGGTAAAAGTCATTAGCACAAGTAAATCCGATCTGACTAATTTTCTTGAAAAAATCTGTGAATGTTACGCTTCTTTCAAGTCTCACACTTTCTAAAATTCGATGGTAAGCAGCTTCTAAAAAATGGAGATGAAAAGATATGCGAGTGTGTACACCGCTTTAAATTGTGATCGACGAATTTAGGGATAGCAAAAGGAGATCACACTGATAAATCGCCAGCCCATTTAACTTTTCATCTTAATCTTTCCCCCAAATTTCCCATTTTTTGAGCTAATTTATCTAAATGCAACGAGTCGCTAATTCATATCGTCCATGCCTATAATCGAAAACAACATAGTATACATGCAGCATGTCATCCCGTGACAGGGGGGCCCATAGTCTCTTCGCATGGATATATATATATATATATATATATATAATATTACATGTGTATGTATATGGACAAGAGTGGATTCGTGTTTCGACATAGTCCCTGATTTTATTTGGTGAAAAGGATGGATGAAAGTTGAAGAAAAGCAGAAGGTGGACAAAGCACAAAGCACACATGCACATGCGTGCATGCTTTTTCCGGATGGACCAACATTAACGGCTTGCCACTCGAGCGGCAATTTCCAATAGGGATCGTTACATTTAACACAATTATCTGAAATTGACGCGAACTCAATATACAAAAGTTTTATAACACAATTAACAAAAAATACAATGTTTTTTTAACGATACATCTCGAATGCAAACCCGACTATGACCCGCGAACACGAGCGTTCAGCCCTATTCACGATCACGACGAAGTGGGACTGGTGCCAACATTGAAGATTACAATGGCCCCAACAAAGAAAGAAAGAAAGAAAGCAAGCCGTGAAGATCTGTCAAAAGAGACATCATCATGGAAACGAACAACAACCTCTCAACGACCGCTCGTACGTGGGGGAGGCGCGTGTATCACATTTGATTTCCATTCCATACTATAGGGACAAAAAACAATATACACAAATTAAATTAAAAAAATGACATTACAAATATGTAATCATGCGAACTTTCCGACCCCCACTCCTCCTCTTCTTTGAGTAATATGGAAGCGAAAAACCAGGGGGAGTCCCCGCCCGCACGGGACACCGAACACGACCCACCCTTTCCAATTCAATTCCCACGACAGAGATATTCGATGGGGCCCCGATTTCGCGAAAGAAATCTTGACCTCGTTTAACATATTCTCCTCCTCCTCCTCCTTTTCTTCTTTTAATAATAATAGTGTTTTAGGATTAACATCGGATTAAGGCATCGAATGCATTGATTAGTCATGTTCCATTATCTCTCAATCATGCTCCTAAAGTGCACTTGCCGTCCATCGCGTGAACATTTTCGAAGCACGGTCGAAACGGGCTTCTTCTTCCTCTCTAGCGTACTCTTATTCCAAGTTATAAATGGCCTTTTATACCCAATATAATACTCCTCGTTAAAACAGTGGGTAATATGAAATAAATGGTCCCCGAAACTTTGATCAAATAAGTAATGTGATTGTATAACTTTAAATTCGCTCGATGTTGTCCCCTAACTTTAGCCTAACATGCAATGTCGCTCATGAACTTTTGATTTGCTCAATTTTGTTCATGAATTTATAGTACATGTTCAATTTAGTCTCCAAACTATATGAAAATATCAAATATTATCCCCAAACTTTTGGTAATGAAAGGGTAATATTGGACATTGTTGTACAGTATTGGAGCTAAATCGAACATGTACCAAAAGTTCAAATACCACACGATATTGCACATCAAGCTAAAATTCAAGGACCATATTGAATCAATTTAAAATTCATGAATCACATTACACGTTAAGTCAAAGTCCATAACCATTGTGTTGCTATCCCCAAAAAAAAAAAGTTAATCCCCTCTCACCCTTATCCCCTTGCTTTTCATGCCTGTCTGGGCCAAAGTCGGCTTTTCAACCCTCCGCAACGGAACGGCGCGGCGTTTCAAGCCAGTGGCAAAAGCGAAATTCCCCAAAACGAGAACGATGGGAAAAAGTGGTCAAAGCCCGCAAAAAAAGCAAAAAAAATAAAGAAGGAAAAATTTTTGGAGATCGCACGGCACACGAGTCGCACCGACTTGACTCGTTCAAACCGGCTCGGACCGCCAATTGCGCCAGCTCGATTGGGAGGAGGCCAAAAAGGAATGCCACGCTGGCATTTCCTCGAAAATTTACTTTTTTGCATTTTTCCAGATGCGACTAATTTAATCACACATTAAGCCTCTTTAAGAGACCATAATTAAATTCCCTTCCCTTCATACAAGCCAACATTAGAAGATCCAAAAAGCAGATTACATGCCCCGACTTGGGCTTTTTTTTACTATACTTGACCCCGCGATTAATAATATAAAAATTTTAAATCGAACGACCCAAAAAGAAGAAGAAGAAGAAGAAAGGCTCAGTTTTTTTTGTTTTTCCTCAATTTTCTCATTATCGATCATCCTTCGGAATCGTACACATTACACTCTCCCGAAAAAAAAAAAGAAAAAAAAGAAAAGGGAAAGCCTTCCTTGCTCCCGTTATTCTACCCATCTAAGAATATGAAAAAAAAAATTGGCCTAATCATTGTGATTATCCCCCGCAAAATGGTATGAAATCTCGCCACAACTGCACTCAAATCCCCCGATTAATGCTACCAAAAATATTCTCTAATAAAAAATCTAAACAAAATCGATAATTTAATTAAAAAAGAGCTACTCCCCCAAAATTTTTTGAATCCGAGCAAAACTGGCCGGATTTTCGTCGCCGCCGGTGCAGGAACTGCCGGAAAATCTGCCGGCCAACAGCGACAGTTCAGTACCTTTCCCTCTCTGAGGAAATCAAGAGTTTCAAAACTTTTTCAAAGGGCCACGAGAGGATCCGATGCGAACAAATCTCCGATGTCTTGAAAATAATCGTCCACCTGACACATGTCCATCGGGGACAACGACCCGAAGTCCTCCGGCTGGTCGACGAAGATGTCGCTCATGAAATCCTCCGCCAGCAGGCGGTCCGAGAACGTCCCTATCGTCGCCTCGTCGAACAGCGTCGACTCCGGCGGGTCGAAGTTGAAGAACTCGTCCAGGAACGGCAGGTCCAGGTGCACGAACTCGCCCGTCTCTCCCTGGCACTCCTGGACCTCCTCCTTCGCCGGCGGCGGCTTGGACATCTCGGGCTGCTCCTGAACCGGCTCCGCGGGTTCGGCTTGTCGGGCCGGTCCGGCCGGCTCGGACTCCTCCCCGGAGGACTGCGTCCGGAAGTGGAGGACCGATGTCGGAGATGAGAGGTTGCGCGAGTCGTCGCCGGAGTCGTAGCCGCACCCCGCGGTGTTGATATTGTCCCCGGCGGCGCCTGCTGCGGCAGCGGCTTCTTCGATGTCCGTGACCAGTGGAGTGGTGAAGTTGGTGAGCGCGTCGGGCCCGCGCAACTTGATTGCCGCGTTGTCGTAGACCATGGCTGCCTCCTCGGCCGTGTCGTAGGTCCCCAGCCACAGCCGCACGCGACGCGCCGGGTCCCGAATCTCCGCCGCCCATTTACCCCACGGGCGCTGCCTCACGCCCCGGAACTTCCTCCCGGAGCCCATCTCCATAGCCGCCGCCGCCGCCTTCAGCGGCCTCTTCGGGGCGTCGGGCTGCGCAAGGCTCGGCCTCTTGCGAGAGATCGAGCCCGTCTGCGCGCCGCCGCACGAGGCCGGCTCGACGTTGATCTCGTGCACGTAGCGCTTGACGCGCTGGCGGGGAAGGAAGAAGGGCTCGCCCGCCTCGTCGTCGCTGTCGGAGTCGGTCGCGTCCGGGTCGGTGACGGATATCCGCACGACCCGGGTCGGCTCGGGCGGGCCGTTCTTGCGCGCGGCCCTGGTCAGCTTCCTCGTAACCGTCCGGTGCTCGGTGTACTTCACCGGGTTCAAGAAACAGTCGTCCATCCTTTCCTCCTGGCTGTCACTCACTCAAAAAACTCGCATCTATGGACACCCAACAAAAAGCAGAAAAGGCGAGCGAAAGAAGAAGATGCAGGAGATGCAGGAGGGGCTAGTGAATCTGAGCGGGAGTGATACAGGAGATGAGAGAGACCCTGTATATATGGCGAGGATCTAAGAGCAGAAAAGGGAGGATCCGGGGGAGATTTTACTGGAGGCAGGTTGTCTGGATTTTCCTGGAGAATTGATTCTGGAGGCAAATAAGAAGGAAAGCCAATAAATTTGTTCCTGAAGAAGCCCTCTCAGCGACCTGTCCAGAGCCTCTTTCTATATAAGAGATTTTGCCCGATCAAGAATCACTTGCAGAAAAAACAACAGGAGGGGAGTCGGTACGAAGAAGGTGCAGAAGAAGAAGAAGAGGAGCAGGAGCTCGGAGAGAGTGCTTTAATGGCGGAAGCAGAGAGGTTTCTGTGGGAGTTCAACAGCTGTTGTTGGTGGTGTTGCAGTGAGAGGGAAGAGTGAACACACTGGAATCGCTATTTTATAGGATCCCGAACAGCCGAAATCGGAATTCGCAAATATCTTTTTCTAATTTTATTTCCTCTTTCTTTCCGGGGAAATGCGATTTTCCTTCTTTTGTTTTCGGGAAAAACTTGGTTTTTTTTCTTCCAGCCCCAAAAAAAAAGAAGAAAGAAAGAGTGGGGCCCCCGGGGGCGGCAAGTCGTATCGGAGGGTCGGTCGCCGGAGGCGGAGATTCCGGCGACGGCGACAACACACGCCCCGCCGCATCCAGGAGACAGCACGGGACGGCGACACGTGGCGCCCCCGGTGGGGCCCGGCCGCGGGGTGGGGAGGTTCACCGCTAGCACCCACTGGGGTTGAATCTTGGGCTTTGCGATGCCGGTCACGTGAGGCCCAAGATGCCCGGCTGCTGTTAAAAAGTTAAACTAGTCGGTCAAAAATTTTAATTTGAATTTCTTCTCCTTTTCCCTACCGTTAGCCAACTCACATTCCGCTTGGACCGCGTGAACGGGGTCCCGGGTGACAATTCTCGACACGACACGGGAACGAAGACGAGAAATTACTAAAAGATATCCGACCATGGCGCTAAATGATTGATTCGGGATTAACCCACTTTCATTCCTTTCTAGCAGGCGATGTGTGCGATTATGATAAAATGTTTTGGTAGTGTCATGAGATGACGCGTCACAGACAGTTAACCTTGTGCAACATGTTGTACAAGGTATAGCGTTTTGTTTTCCCATTTCTAGCCATGTCGTTCCGTTACACTTTATTCACCATATTTGACCTTTTTCACACACTTCCAAAGATATGATTGTTCGTTCCTGTCATACTCATCTCGTATTAGATGTAAAATGTCGTAACCATCGTCTAATAGAACACAGCAAGATGCAACGGTTATGTTAAAGTTGTAAGATATTAATGTGAACTGTAGGTTAGATATGTTGCCGTTTTTTACTAGAGCGAATAAATTACTGTCACGACATGCTCCACACGTTTCATAAGTTGTTGGGCGACTCTTCATTCAGAAGAGACTCTCTGATTTCGAATTTAATTTGGGATCATATTTTCCTCTAACCCTTATCGGCTTATGTTTCCTCCAACCACTCTTTGATTGTGCATTCTCAACACGGACTTCACGCACAAGTAATGTGTACTTAATTTGCATAACCGGAACTTGTAACCTTCCAATCAGATGCATCATTCGAGGAAATTTCTTCCAGCTAGCAAGGCAGGAATATAACTGTTACATTCCAATCTTTAACTTGTACTTGCTCTTTCAAGCAGGACCGATCGTTCTTTCATTAGCTGTACCGTATAATAGGTCGGCATTTGACCGTTCATTCATAAGGGGAAAATTACCAAAAGTGTCCTGAACTTATAGTACGATGCCAATTTAATCATAAAATTTTTTAATTTGGCTAATTTAGTCCTAAACATTTTGACGATTTGTCAATGTAATTCTCTCAGCAAATTTTGACCTAAAATCGCGGACGTGAACGTCAACTGTCATACGTGACACGGTCAGACAACTAGCTCTGACGTGGATAATTTTTGCATTTTTTCAGAGTTTTCTTTTAAAAAATAATTTCTAAAAAATTACAAAAATTGTTCATGTCAGCACTAATTGTGCCCCATAAGACGATTGGCATCCACGTCAGCGATTTCTGGCCAAAATTTGCTGAAAGGACTACATTGGTAAATCGTCAAAATCTAGGATTATATTGATCAAATTGAAAAGTTTATGGCTAAATTGACATTGAACAAAATGTTTAGGACTCTTTTGGTAATTTTCTCCTTGATAAGAAGGTCTCAAAATTACAGTTCGTTTGCCATATTTGACCTTTACTTACCTCTTCTGCAAGATTGGCAACTCCCATCATAGTCGTGTATAATAAGTGCATCACACAAATCAATCTCAAATACGATAGATTTCGGCAATTAGCCATGCTAAATTTTGTTATGCCTCTTTCCTGATCCGACATGGATGAAGACCCTCTACCCTTGCTCAGCACTCCCGTCGATGTCTCAACCACTTTCCGACCGTCGATGAAGGTAACTAAGGCAAGCATCCACAGTCGAGATATGTCGAGATATCTACAAGAATTGTTTGTGGGGGTAAAAGATTCGCCGCTCGCACAACCGAATACATGTTACGACGTAACATTGTACACATTAAATAGGTTTTTGCATTAGTAAGGCAAGTCTAAATGTGCTCAACACCAGTTGATTTGTACAGACCTTGTACTCGCCTAAACTTATCAATTTTAAGACGAAGATCATAGCAACTCAATTAAGAGGTCAGAGTTACCCCCACTCAAGTGACAATTAGGTGGAAGAAAATTAGGGGATTTTTGCTTTTCCCCTTTTGATTAATTTTCACTGTTTTACAGCTCGGAGCAACGTGGAGGCCTTGTTGTTGCAGCCATTTTATAATCCCGTTGTGTACGTCTCTGGGTTTTTCTCTCGTTATGTCTTTTACCTACTTTCGAGATTTGTTTATTTAATTACCATTACTCCCCCCCAAATCCGACGTGGCCTTTGCATGTCGCACGCGGTCTCCACACCACATATAAGGACCCAAAAAAAAGGACGATAAATTTAATTTTCGCCGAGTAACGTGCTTTCCCTAAGTGTCCTTCAAAGTTAATTTAATGCCGTCTTACTATGTCATTGTGACTATGGAAATAGATTTTCATATAATACCTACGGAAAGAAATTAAGGTTGGGCAAGTAAATCGAGCACATTAATAGCTAGCCCTAAGTTTTAACGACGCGGTCCGTTTGAGGATTAAAAAGAAATTAGCCGATTCGCTTAATTTGATTTCCTTATCAATCGGTCAACTTCTTTTAACCACAACATATTCTATCGTTGTCATTTCAAATCAATTGTACCTTAAAACACATGGAAGCCTATGGTAAGGGAGACTAAGTCTCACGAAACCGCTCACGTGGCTCCTCATGGTCGACCCCATCATCTCCCACTCAAACATGTTTTTCTCAACGTAAATCATACACGCTTCACCGTCCTCTCCAAACCCCACGATTTTTCTTCCTTACTATGGGGCCAATCTCTAACCCCCACTCCCATCATCGTAAGCTTTTTACCACCGCCGTACAGTCATTATTGCAAGAGAAATATGGTCTTTTCGAAAGTGCTCTCCCTACTCGTACTTGTCTAGCGACGTATAAATCGGTGGGCAGCACGTATAATTCGGTAATTGTTGGAGTTTAGGCGTTGTCGCCAAGTGGGTCGAGGTATAATTCCTTAACCGGTGGTTATAGTATATGCTACGTACAATTTTGCATCAATACACCAAAAACTACCGTTGTCGACAATGTATGTTCCAGCACAAGGACTTCCAAAGGACTGTCGGAGGAACCATAAGTTTCAAGAGAAAACTAGAAGGAATGAGAGCCGGGTGAAGTGAAGTTGATCATCCTTGCCGCGGATTTCGTAGACAAAAACTAGGGTTGACCCAAGTTGTCTTTGTAGATTCCAAATTTCGGGTCCAAGGAATCAAATTTGTAAGTACAAAACGAAATGCTTCAGGGAATTTGGAAAGTGGGAATCATCGGATAACTAATGGGCGTGGTCCGGCCCCAGTGTTTTCGGCTTTTCTTTACTTGGAAATCAAGCAATCATCATTTACTCCACAAACGATGTATCAAACAAAATAAGCCGACCCCCTTTTTGTATCTTGACATCCCACAAGACCTTTCCCTTCCTCCTCCGCCCTCCTCCTTGAAACGTTCTAAATCGATCTTAAATCATCATCATCTCCGTGCCATTAGTGGCGTGGCCCGTCACATGTGTCGATCAATGATTGGTTGGTAGGCTCTCGGCATCCCCCCAAGTTTAGGTGAGTATAATATCATTTTCGGGGCGAATAGATTTTGCCGGTTTGGATCATGGTGTTTTGGTGTATGTGACATCTTCTTGCGCTTAGAGCCTAGCGTGCCGAAACTTTGGGGAAAAAACACAAATTTTCCTCTTTCTGTCCCCATGCGCGTTGAAGAATATGGAGTCCATTTTCTCTCTGTCTTTCCGTTTCCCATTTTCCTTTCGTTTTCTTTTTAGTTTTCCCGTGAAAAAGAGTTTAATTGAATTGAGTGGCTAATAAACATTTGTGGGCAAACAAGGGTATGTACAAAAATGTCACGCGTTAGCACGCTCGCACCTAAAAAATTTGAGGAGGTAGAGGGTGGAGCTAATAATGGGGAAGAATTCTTTTTCCCTTTCTCACGTGCATGATGATGGATTGATGGAACACATCTCGAGGATTAATCTTAATCCTTCAAGGACATAAGCTTCGATCGAAGCTAGCAATCATGCCACAACATTGATTAATCTCGTTAGTACAAGCAGTAGTTAGAGGGGATTAGCCATTCAAATGGGTTTTTGAAGATTAGTTGGTCGATCCCCATATTTTTTCCCTTTTTCCAAAGTTATCACCACGCCTTGCGGTGAAACTTAGACGAAGTAGTTGAACGAAAATTCTTGGTAGAATCGAATTTTCAACCGGGCCCTCCACGGGATCGAGCTTTTTCACGGATTGTCTCTTTCTTTCCTCTCACTGTGCAGCGCCCTGTTCCGACGGTCAACTTTTGGAGCTATGCTCGTGGAACTTTTCCAACAGTTCGTGTAAGGAACTTCTTTGAGTGATCGTAAGTTACTCCGGAATGGCAGAACAACTTGTTCATATTATCATACGGTTGGCGTCCTACGTGCTTTTAACATCTGAAGTGTAAAAGTTACCATATTGGATTGGTGGCCGGTGTTCATCTTCCTCGTATCTTGACTCGCGTCTTGTTCCAACAGCTTGTACAAGGAAAATCAGTCTCGTGTTGTTTGGAGATATTAAAAATAAGACCACCTCTCGTCGTTATCGAGAAGCTCGAACTTTTATTCGAAACACGCTATTCATCTCATCGACATTCGCCTTCACAACTTATATCTTTACTGTTCTGCATGGAATCCGAATCCGTTTTGATATGTTGACGTGTGGTTTCCACACAGATACCACATCTCGCGTCTAAGTTTGCGTTCAAAAAGCATTACTGGTAGGACAAGAAGTGTCGAAATCACGCCG